CCCGCTCGCATTCAAATCAACACATGCTAGAAATCAATTACTTGCGCATAGAAGAGTGTGAATCATCGTGGTAGGAGAAAGTCTATAGGCTGGAGTAGGAGACATCTAGCATTCAATTCACCCATACCGAAGGAAGGTTTACCTTATTTTGTGACTTCTTAGTATCATTCAATAGTGTAAGCATTTTGGGATTTATTGCTCCCCTAACGTCTAATGTGAGAAATCTCAAATACGTGTTATTGTTCGTCAGATTTTACAACCAATGCGTTTTTAGTTTAATTGCTGTGGTTTGGAATTATCTTATTCCTCGTTTCGTAAGTGATTAATACCTAACAGTGTTCGTCATATTATTACTGTTTTCATGAGTTCATGCTATATATATATATATATTAGTACTTGAAATCCCTGTAGTCACTCTTAGGGGAAATCTAATCATGGAAAATTCTTTACTGATCACGTGCATATTCAAGGTATCAGATAATTGTCACGCTCAACGTACTAATAATATCATCCTACAATGATGGGTTTCTGTATATCGCACCAACAGCTAAACGGTGGTAAAATCATGTTTATGTTTTGACCTGTAGGCTGTAGTATACATCGTGGGAATTTGGCCTCTATACATTTAGAGATACGAGCGCTACCTCACTTTTAGGAACGGCCCGAATGCAGCAGGGAAAGAAAAAAACAGTAGGTTTTTTTTGTTCACGAAAAGCAAACACCTAACCTGTTTTCAAACAATAAGTACAAGTTATTGGGGATATATAGTTTAAACAATAAATAATGCTAGCGAGTTTTCAAAAAAATTTCAAATAAAGCTTAATAATAGGACAAAATATGAAATGCTAAAATATATGACAGTGATATATGAATAAGCTGAACGTTGTTGGAAAATGTTGAAAGAATGTTGAATACTTCAACTTAATAACCATCCAGTAGAGATGGAATACGTTGTTGGTTGTCATAATATCGAACACATGTTGATTACAAGAACTTTAGGTAAAATAATTACAAATATTTATCATTTATAAGCTGAAAACGTTTAGTTTTGTATATAAAGATATCAGAAATAGAAAAGTATGTGGAACGAGCCAATAAAACTATTTAGTGTATGTTTTAAAATTCATCATCACAATGAATATCGATAAAGATTAATTAGTGTTACATAGCTAATGCCAATATTAAAAATAAACTTTAACCATGGAATAATTAAAAACTTAAATGTACCTCAAAGTTATATATTATGCACTGAATGACGGCTAATTTTATTACCTACTGTTTTTGAATTTCACGCAAAGCTACACTAGGGCTATCTGCGCTAGCCGTCTCTAATGTAAGACTAGACACCGCCAACTCTTAGGCTTCTCTATTACCAACGAATAGTGGGACTGACCGTCATATTATAGCGCCCCCACACCTGAAAGGGCGAGCATGTTTGGTGGGACGTGGATTCGAACCTGCGACCCTCAGATTGCGAGTCGAGCTCCCTAACCACCTGGCCATGCCGGGCCTTTTTGTTTGTTGCTTATTTCTTATAATCGCAAATACCTATTTGATTTAATACCTACTTTATCATAAATACCTGGTTGATTCAATACCTACTTTATCATAAATACCTAGTTGATTCAATACCTACTTTATCATAAATACCTAGTTGATTCAATACCTACTTTATCATAAATACCTGGTTGATTCAATACCTACTTTATCATAAATACCTGGTTGATTCAATACCTACTTTATTGTAAATACCTAGTTGATTCAATACCTACTTTATCATAAATACCTAGTTGATTCAATACCTACTTTATTGTAAATACCTAGTTGATTCAATACCTACTTTATCATAAATACCTAGTTGATTCAATACCTACTTTATTGTAAATACCTAGTTGATTCAATACCTACTTTATCATAAATACCTATTTGATTTAATACCTACTTTATCATAAATACCTGGTTGATTCAATACCTACTTTATCATAAATACCTAGTTGATTCAATACCTACTTTATCATAAATACCTAGTTGATTCAATACCTACTTTATCATAAATACCTAGTTGATTCAATACCTACTTTATTGTAAATACCTAGTTGATTCAATACCTACTTTATCATAAATACCTAGTTGATTCAATACCTACTTTATCATAAATACCTAGTTTATTCAATACCTACTTTATTGTAAATACCTAGTTTATTCAATACCTACTTTATTGTAAATACCTAGTTGATTCAATACCTACTTTATCATAAATACCTAGTTGATTCAATACCTACTTTATTCTCAAACACTTTTTTTTTCTAGCATGTCTTTGAATTTTATAAATAAGTAATGAAAATTACCGAGAAATAAACGTTATATCTAAATTACAGGTAGCTTTGGAAAAAATACGTAAAAAAAACCCCTAAAATTATGCTTTTTGTGGCATTTTGACCCTCCTATAATTACTAAAAACGAGCAAGATCAACATTTTTTGTCAGTGTGTGGGGCCTATGGAAAAGTATCTTTGTACCAAATCCCATGTAAATTTGCCACAATATGACCGAGTGATTGACTAAACCCCCAAATTATGCTTCTTTGTAAGCTCTGACACCCCCCCCCCTAAAAGACTGAAAATAGGAAAATCCAACTTTTTGTATGTCAATATATTGGGCGCAAGAAAATGTATATTTGTGACAATCTTAACCTTGATTACTGAAAATATGACTTGCACAGGAGCCCAAAATATACATTTTTGGGTTGTTTGACTTTTGACTCCATAAAATCCTCAAAAAGGCCTAAATCAGAAAAATCAAAACGGTGTGTGTGCATGTTGGAACACGGTACAACTCTACCAACTTTCACGTCAATCAGTTGAGAAATGAAGGAATGAAAAGTGCTTGGAAGAAGAAGAAACAATAGAAAAAAACAGTATGTCTCTTTGCGGAGACATATTAAAACACTTATTACCACTTTCTGAAGAATCCGATGATTATTGCATCACGCTTCAAAACCATAGACAAGCAAAATGTGTTAAAAGCTTATATAATTAAGAATTATAATAAATAGAATAAAATAAAAACACGCCTAAGTTTTCTTGAATCTACTCAAAAGAAAATTGTTGCTTTTTCGTCTTCTTTTTCTTTTCTTTTTTTTTTTTTTTTGTGGTTGAGCTGGTCTTCAAATCTCAATTCTTGAAAATCCCCAATGACAGGTTTGGTTTAGAAAATGTAGGAGAAGGTGGGCTGTACCGTGTCACCCGTCTCTGTCAGGTGATTTTCCAAATAAAATTTAAAGGAGTCGTGTATAATGACATATCAAACCCACACTGAGATACATAGAAACTGGAGCAGTTTAATAGTTTTATTGCTTCTGATAAGAACAACAACAACAACAAAACGCGGCTAAAAACTCGACCATACTGGTTTTACTGGGACGTCTGATAACCCTAAGCAAAACCCATGATAAAGTACTGATTATGAAGTCAAATTTAGAAAACCATTTCTTGTAAATATTATTATTGTCTCGAGTAGTCATAATCTTTTGAGTTTGAATTAAAAAGGGTTCTTCTGTGTATTGTCTATTATCTTGTTTATGTTGTTACTGGTGGATATCAACACTAATATTTTTATAACTACGGTAACTTTGGTACACAACTTGTACAGTGCATGATGTCACCATTGATATTTTCAAGATTACAGTAATTCTGGTATCCAACTTGTACGGTGCATTATTAGAGTTAAAAATTACAAAATATTTATTGGCCTATTTTTTGTAGAATTCTATGAAATGTTAGAATTACTCGGAACTACAGATCAATTTTAATATATGTAAATTACAAGCTGACAACGAATATGAAAGTTAAGAATACTGCAAAAAAGGAGTTTAGTTATTAAATTCATCAAGGCTAAGGATAATCAAAGGTCATATTCACCAATTATTAAAATTAATTATTAGTAATTCTAAGGATAAGATATTGAGCATGTTAGTATCACCAGAAAGTTTATAACATATTTAGTTACTTCATCATTTTTCATTTTTCTCTGAAACGTGAAGAACCCCCCCCCCCCCATTAAAACGTGCTTTTACCTGAAATATAATATGTGAGGTCACTCTCAAGGTTTAGGCTTCAATCAAGGTAGAAGGGTCTTAAAAGCTTGCTTTCTTCCACTCTTTGTACCAAGTACTATGAGTACTATTCCAACCATTGGTTACAGGGAAAATACTACACGAAAAACATGTAATTTGCTTTGTCATGTACATAAGAAGTTTATTGCCTGTGGGTTTTTCTATAAAGTTCGCGTAATATTTACTACAAAATGCTTTCTTTCATCTCTTAGTACTAGAGAAAGAGCCGCTTTTACCGTCGCATTGCAATTGGGTGTGTGGGGGAAGGGGGGTGCTATGTTTCCGCGTGCATATCTCGAAACTAATTGACCGATGTACACGAAAACTTCATACAAGATGGGAAGTCAGTATGGGACATTCCTCCCCAAATATAGTCCGGATCCAGATTCTGAATCACTTTCAAGCATTTTTTATATAATGGAGAGATAGGGCATTTTCATGGTTTTGGGTTAATAACTCTGTAAAGTGTGATCAGATTTGTACCGAATTTCATGGGCACATTAAGGTTGAGACTCCGCATCAAACTACAAAAGATCATCCGGAACGTTGATAATTCTGGATCTGAGAAGGATTTTCTGGGTTTTCGGGGGTGGAATTTTACGTTATCCAATATAAACGCATGCAATCTCATAAAGGAGCGGCGGGGCGAGGGTATGCAATCTCCCTGATTGCTCTTGTTTTTTTCTGACTTGCTGGTCTACTGGCAGTTGAGGAAAGTATTCCTATTTAAAAAACAATGGAAGGAAGATGAGAACGTCGTGAAACATTCATGGCTAAGTTTTCTACACATGTAGCAGGATGTAATACATTTAGAGAATTTTCCCCAACTTTAAAACGAGTTTCTGAATATACAGTGAACGTTAGAGAGGCAAGAAACATTTATGTACCTGTTGAAACAATCAGCCATGTATAAAGTCGTCAACAGCTCTAGCAGGTTGTGTGTGTGAGAGAGAGGCTTGAAAACATCTGCACCTTTCTACAATGAGAATAATACTGTTGTTAGCTATATTTTAGATGTTTTAATTCAGCTATTTGCTAGAGGGAGCTGCTAACACACGAAAGTTTATAAAAGTAGTCCTAGAATACCTAGAATGTTCGTAATTGTTAATGATCAAAATACTTTGCTAAATATCTAGAAACAAGGATACAGTATAATTTCGAGGAGTAGTGAAGTATTCAGGTCAGTGTTAGTTATCGCATATATTCACTTACACGATCGATTAGCCGTGAAATTACACGAATAAGTTTATATTTACTTTACTCGTAGTACCACTAGTAAGTAAATTTCTGTTGAAAATGAAAACTTTATTTATGTGTGATCTCAAACCTACAACTTTGTTCAAGTAATAGACTATAGCAAATACTAAGAAGAAAAACATATTATTACGTAGACTGGAATTCGCATTATTTTCACCAAATAAATTTAAAAAACCCGCCCAACGAAATAATAATGTAACATCAATATAGTAGTATGGATCGAAAATTATGAATAAATCATAAACCAAGTTACAAATGATCTACAAACACAACAGTTTTTCTGAAGATTTGGGGTGATAAAAATATTAAAATAATTAAAAGACTCTAATAAAAATGTGAAGATCCATGATCTGGCATGATAACCATTGGCCTACATTACGCGAGTGTTACTTAATACAAATTAATGCAATACGTTTAATTACGGTCTGCGATGCACATAGTCTCTTCCTAAAAGTATTAACAGACTAAGGCCACAGCTTAATCAGACTAGACGATATCTTCCTCAAATTGTCAAATCGTCTGATCTAACAGTATTTCAGAAATAACAAAGTTCCATACATGAATATAAACAATAAAAAACAATGCCATTAATTTGTCCAGTGGAATGTCCTCGTTCAAGTAAAAGTGACCTATGAATTCCTTGCTTTATTATATACAAAAGTCTTCTTACAGTTAGTATATTCATCTTTAGCCCCCTCACCCCCCAAAAAAACAACAACAACAAAATACACAACTATTATGCATGTCCGGTATGTATGTTGGTTCAACCACTTTTTATTTTCAATATTATTGTTTGTTTCTTTTGTTGTTAAGCGCAAAATTACATAATGGGGCTATCTGTGCTTTGCCTATCTCTGGTATCGAAAATCGATTATAAATGTTGTAAAGCCCCCCCCCCCACCCCCCAGACTTACCGCCGAACCCCGTTATTACTGTGATGTGTTTTTGTACTCCCATTTCATCACATGTACAAGGATGAAACGTCATTCCTCATCCACACATGGAGATTTCACCCTAGGTGCAGCGATCAGTTTCTCCAAGTCTGTATGGATGTAACAAGTTTTTGTCATTAATTCTAAATCTTGAGGGAACCATAGAAGTGACTATTCTCCTATATTTCATAAACTTGAATTTTGCTCTTAATCAATATTGTCTCTAAGGAGAAATATTCACACCTGTTAACTACATATACATGGAAATAAAGTCTGTTTGTAAAAATATCGCCATAATTGTAAACACAGATTAAATTACTGCTAAAAACTCGTTTTAATACCAGTCGCGGATAGGCTGTCGTGGGAAGGGTGGCCAGTGCCCCCTCTTTTCTCTGACCGTAATTTAGAACAGTCGAAAGCAGGAACAGCAAATAATACCACTGCGAACCTAACCCAAAAGTCCGTATATTTAAAAAAGTTTCACTTATAATTTCCTACTTTTTCAGTCCAGTGTAAAAAATCTAACTGAAGTAATAATAAAAACGTTGCACTGTTAAGATTTTTTGTGCTCGCCCTTTCAGCCGTGGGGGTGTTATAATGTGACGGCCAATCCTACTATTTGTTAGTGAAAGAGTAACCCAAGAGTTGGCGGTGGGTGATGATGAATAGCTGCCTTCCCTCTAGTCTTTCACTGCTAAATTAGGGACGACTAGCACAGCTAGCCCTCGTGTAGCTTTGCGCGAACTTCCAAACAAACGAAACCATACTTATTGTTATCTGGAAGTGTTTTCCAAATCTTCTATTACAAAAAAGGGACATGGATAAACGTTTCGGAATTCTATACTGAAGATGGAATCTGATAGAAGTTATGAACTAATGATTAAACTCGATGAATCTGAACGTGTAGCAAATTGGTAAGCCATAATGTGTTTAATTCTGTTAACGTATACGTATAACTTCTGCATTAGAAAGTTCCCAATATTATGTTTAAAGGTGAAAATTTATCATCTATGAAAAATGACGGTCTTCACAGACATCAATACAGAATCTGGAGGACGCTAGGCCTACTGAATGATAGCTGAACATCACAAGTTTCGGGGTGGTTCTTTGATGGCATGGGGAGGCATCTTCTCCTATGGACCTACGCATCTATACATTGTTAACAGTAGTTTTTTACATGTTTATAGCTACAAGACGATATCCTGGAAGCCATTTTCGGACCTTATGCTGGGTTTTTTTACTTAATTTCATTTTGATAGTCGATAATGTCCCTCTTCACCGTGCACTGCCTACTTTGGACAGGGCACTACTGTGAAAACGGACCGGTCACTGTTTTTCTCTGGACCTCAACAGTTTAGAACACATTTACGACCAGCTTCAGGCAACGGGTTTCACGTCTACCTCATCAACGGGTAACCTGGATCATACAAGACGTAATGTTGTAAATGTTCCCTAGAACTGCATACAATGCAGATAGCGATGTTCGGCTTGGTGTTGTCAGGATCCTTTTGAGAGGCAGTTCCATGACGATAGCTCGATTTGTTATTATTTTACTTGTAAGACAATAAATGTCACTTTTATTAACACTCGCAAAACATATACGCATAGTTTTTGTCATTAATTTTGTCCCCTATATTTAAAAAAAGCTACAATTATCATATTTTTCACGTCAGCGTTATAGAGAAAATCAATAAAAGTTCGAATAAAGTAAACTGTACCACATTTTCCCGTGTGATTTCACAAGTGGTCATCGTATAAAACTTATTCAGTACAAACCTAACAGTCTCGGTTCCAGCTTTTCTTAACTGGGGTGGTGGTGATAGTGGTGGACAATGAGATTAATGGACGGAATTAGTTTGGGTTGCCAACGGCATTTCAGCCCCTCTTCCAAGTTCATATGGTCACAACGAATATATTAAAAACGTTCTAAACACATTAAGTCTGGAAGGGTTCATACAAGTGTACGTGAAAAGCGTTGTTTCTTTTGTGTAGTTGAATTAAGCAGGTTTGTTAAATAGTAATATACTGTTACGTCTCCGTTCGTTAGTTAATTTTCAGTAAATTCTTTCCGACTAAACTTTAGCGACACAAGTCCTTTCTTAAATAAAACTGGTTTATT